GATTATGAAGGTTTATTTTCAAGACCCCACCCAGTGCATTCCTCGCACCGTTAAAGAGATCAATAAGGATCTCACAAGTTAAGGGAGGGGGTTTCTATCATGTAGTTGATAATTCATAACAACCGTCCACTCTATCTGGGGTATTATGGTTATTATGATAATGATTATAAAGGTTTGCTTACAAGTTCTCAACAAGCTCATTCTTTGCGCCGTTTAAGAGATATATAAGGATATCACAAGTTATGGGAGTGTATTCTTTTACGTTTTAATTGATAACAACTGTCCGCTCTGCCTGGGGTATGATGATTACAAAAATTCTGATGAAAAAGGTTTATTTACAAGATCCCCTCTGGGGGCTTTTGCGTCGTTAAAGAGATGAATAAGGATATCACAATTTAAGGGAGTGGATTCCCTTTTATGTTATTGATAATTTTAAAACAACTGTCCACTCTACCTGGCGTATGATGATTATAATAATAATGATGATAAATGTTTATTTACAACACTTCCCGAGTGCATTCTTCGCTTATTTAGAGCGTAAAAGAAATTGTTGCAAACTATTTCTTCACTTTAAGAATGTATTTTCACCTGCTAACCTAGCTAGGTCGCCGCTCGAAGTCGAAGAAATTTCCACATTAGTTCAGACAAAGCTTTCCATGGGGAATGAACATGAATCTGTGGATATTTAATCTCGTCTGTTCAGCTGTGTACGGCATAAACCGAATTTCAGAGCCAGATTTGAAAGCTGTTAGCTTTGCCGAAAAGATAGCAGGACAAAAGCTGAACGGAAGCCTGATAAAAGAAATAGATGTGGATTCGGAAAGTTCCTGTCAGCTTGAGTGTGTTGATGAAGAGCGATGTCAGTCTTACAACTTTGGAACCCAAAAGGGCGACTCAGGGAAATTCAAATGTCAGCTAAGCGACTCTGATCGATTTGTTGGATTTGCTAACTTTACCAAGGTTGAAAATTTCATTTACTGAGGAATGAAGGTATGCTAAATCTGTCTTTGTGCATCGAAAATTAATTAATTGCACCTCAATGTTTGAATCTTTATGTTCATAATCGTAGCTGTAGCTCTATTTCAGCGCCTTGCATGATTCTTTCTGAAGCTTTGCTCCACTTAACATGGCTGGGAATTAGCGCGGCATTTCGATTGATCGATTGCGTTCGGGTACAAGGAAGCGATGTGGTAGAGTTGTTGGCGAGCTGGTTAAGACAGGAGCGAGGTTTTTTCACATCATGGGGGTGAACTTGCAACGGTAGAAGTTGAGCGAACTTGAAATGGCGCGAAACCTCTATAAATTACATGGCACCCTCAGGCACAGGACTTACAGAATTGTTTAACACAATGAAAAACGTTCAAATGTCGTACAATTTCTTAAGTGTCATAACTTTCATTCTTGGAATATTCAAAATAGAAAACCGTTCATGCACTGAGTTTCTATCTTCCCGCATATAAAATCGACGAAAGAACTTAAAATTAAAAAAAGACAAAACGTTTCTATCAATGTTTGAAAAAACATACGTTTCTCTATTTTCCTTCCCTAATGTTAGAG